CATCCATAACCTTAGATTCACTTCTCAATCGACCCCGAGACCCCAAGTAATTATAACACCCGAACACGAGTCCCAAGTCCCGATTATGGAGCAAAATTTTCCCGAGCTAGGGTTGACGAGAGAAGACTGTGTCGAGATGAGCTGGATCGAGTCTATCCTCTACTTCGCGGGCTTTCCAATAGAATCCCGCGAGGTTTTGCTAAACCGGACGCAACCCAATTTGACGTATCTCAAGGTAAAATCAGATTACGTGCAGAGGCCAATTCCCGAGCACGCGCTCGAGGGTTTGTGGAGATTATTCTACGAGCCCGAAGGGGAGGAGGCCGCGATTGTCCTAATCCCGTACGGCGGCATGATGGATAATATTTCTGAGTCGTCAATCCCATTTCCTCACCGGGCCGGGAATATGTATGCGATGCAGGATTACGTGTCTTGGCGAGAGGACAATGCTCTGAATTCAGACAGGTACATAAGATGGATTAGGAGGCTCTATAGCTACATGGCTCCTTACGTGTCGAGTTCGCCTCGGGCCGCTTATGTTAACTATAGAGATCTCGATATTGGAGTTAACGGCAGAGCCGGTCCTAAAAAATTCGAGGCCCTGGCTAAATGATAAATAGTGCCCCATTTAAATTATAATTATCATATTATAAAAAAATATTGACGAATGAAGATTATGACAAAATTATTATTATCATATTATAAAAAAATATTGAAGACTGAGGATTATAACAAAATTATAAAATTTACACAAAAAAGAATTGACAAGTGCTAGCGCCTCCATATTTTTTATTTATTTATTTATTTTTGCTATCATTAAATTGTTTTTCTGACAAAAAGAATTAGTGTAGTGCGTCAAGGCTTCATTTCCTCAAATTTCTAGGAACGGACTTGGTGACTATAATAGTAAAACATGTGTTCACTTTTACAAAAATGAAGTTTTCAAATAAGGTATACATTAAATATTCTCGTCCTTTTGTGACTATGTTTTGTAAATACTCTTATATATGTATATACTGAAAATATAACAATTATAATAAATGTGAGAGAAAAAATTATTTACTATAATAACTAATAATTAAATGTATGTAAGTAACTCATAATAAGAATTTGTTATTCCTTTCTATTAGACATTGAAAATAAAATAATATATTATAAGAGAGAAAAAATGTGGCAAAATTAGCAAAAAGAGACTAACATAATTAAAATGAACAATTAATATTTTTGTCAACACTCAACACATAATTTAATAAGTCAACTGATAAATAAATTTGACAAAGTAGTTTAATTTTTTTTAAAAAAATAAATTCAAAAATTGGATATAACTATTCGAAACAAGTCTTTAGTGGGCTAGGCTAGACAACTCATACCTATGCAAGCCCATAACAAAGTTGTAAAAGACTAATTAACATTGCTCAAAATAGTTGGTGATTAGTAAAACATCAATCTAAAAAGCCCAAGCATAAAATGGGGCCTTAATAATTCAATGGGCCTTTAATGCTTGGTGCCCCTCAAAATCTGTGGGCCCTGGGTGGGCCCTGGGCGGTCGCCCTGCTGGCCCTGCCCCAGGGCCGGCCCTGGTTAACGGCAATGAAGGGATGATCGGTTATGCGCGGTCTAGCATTTGGGGAAGGAAGTATTTCGGGAATAATTTCGACCGGCTTGTTCGGGTGAAAACCGCGGTGGATCGAGACAATTTCTTCAGGAATGAACAGAGTATTCCATCGTTATATGAAGAGATAGATGAGTGAGGAACATGGTTTAATGTAACTCAGTTCAATTCACATGCATGCGTATGTGGAATTTGTCTGTTATTATTGATAATTTATACATCACAAATTTGCATATCATTTAATAATTCATGTATCATAATTTAGTTATATGATTATGATACCTCTCTATGGACTTATTTTCAGAATTTACCTGTTACTAAAATTCACATGCATGCTTATTTTTGATTCACAAATACTTCACAATTAAAAAATTATAAATTCTTAGTACCGGACAAATTGAATACGGGCCCCGGATTGAGACCCGAAAACACCCTCTTTTCTGCATTACAAGCTCAAATCAAAGTTTTTCGGCCTCAGGGACCAATCAAAAGTGATGAAGAATGTGAATTTTAAATTTGACTTCGATCAATATTGAAGATGTTTTTATTATCTTTATATTTTATTTCACAAAACATTCGATCTTTATTATAGCACAATATGTGTACAAACATTATTACAATGTACTAAATCACACATCCAAATACAACAACAAATGGAATCAAATTCAGATAACGTAGAAAATACTTAAGCGTGTGAACTGAACTGAATTGAACTGAACTCATCATAGCTCAGTCATCTCTCTCTTCATGTAGAGATGGAATACTCTGTTCATTCCTAAAGAAATTGTCGGGATCCACCGCGGTTTTCACCCGAACAAGCCGGTCGAAATTGTTCCCGAAATATTTCCTCCCCCAAACACTTGCCCGCGCATAATCGATCCTCCCTTCATTGTTGTTAACTCCAATATCGAGATCTCTATAGTTAATATACGCGGCCCTTGGCGAACTCGACACGTAAGGAGCCATGTAGCTATAGAGCCGCCTAATCCAACTTATGTACCTATGCGAATTCCGAGCATTGTTCTCTTGCCACCATGCCAAATGCTGGATTTTGTAAAGATTCCTTGCTCGGTGAGGAAATGGAATTGCTGACTCCGAAATATTATCCATTATGCCGCCGTACGGGCTGAGGATTAGCTCTGCATCCTCGCCTTCCGGCTCATAGAATATTCTCCACAGGCCTTCGAGCCCACGTTCGGGAATGGGCCTCCGCACGTAATCAGATTTTGCCTTGAAGTACCTCACGCGGGGTTGTGTCCTGTTTAGCAAAACGTCGCGAGATTCTATTGGAAAGCCCGCGAAGTACAGGATAGACTCAATCCAGCTCATTTCGGTGCAGTCTTCTCTCGTCAGCCCAAGCTCGGGGAAATCTCGTTGCATAATCGGAATCAACCTGTCGATTCCGCCAAGGAAAATCGAGTTGAATGCAGCGCGAACGGTGAAGTTTCGGTCGTTTTGAGTAGAGTTGGCCCTCGTGATCAATATCCTTATGAATAAGTCCGGGTCAAACGTATGGGCAATGCTCTGCCATCGGTGGACGAGCAGAGTCGCGTTCTGCTCCAGAGTTCGGGAGACCGTGAAGACGGTGACTTGTTCGGGGACTTCAACGAGTTTCACTTGCCATGCAAGTATCACACCGAAACTCGAGCCTCCTCCGCCCCGGATGGCCCAGAAAAGATCCTCGCCCATCGATCGTCGGTCGAGAATTCTGCCGCTGGCGTCGACTATTCTCGCGTCGATCACGTTGTCGGCCGCGAGGCCGTATTTACGGAGCAACGTTCCGTATCCGCCTCCGCTGAAATGCCCGCCGACGCCGACGGTCGGGCAAACGCCGGCGGGAAACCCGAGAATCGAGCTTCGTTCGGCAATTCTGTAGTACAAGGAGCCAATAGTTGCTCCCGACCCGACCCATGCAGTCTTTGCCTTTGGATCGACAGTTATCTCGCTAAAGTTGATTAAGTCGAGGATCACAAACGAGACTTGGGATACGTAGGACAATCCTTCGTAATCGTGGCCCCCGCTTCGGATTCTGATCTCCATGTCGTTTTCTCTAGCACAATGGATGACATGCGGGATTTGGGACTCGTGCTCGGGAGTTATGATAACTTGGGGTCTCGGTGTCGATTGGGAAGTGAATCTAAGGTTGTGGATGGAAAATCGGAGAATGGATGCGTAGGATGAGTTGGTTGGGGTATATGTCACGTTGGAAATCGAGTTGTGGTATCGTCCAGAGAGACACTCGAGAAAATCTTCGTGATCATCGTTATTAGCTGCAGCAGCTGATAACAAAGAGATGATGGCAAGAAGGATGAATATGAAAGATGAAAGGATTATTGGAGTCTTCATGATGTTAAGAGTTAGTTAACAAGTAACAACTAATTGAGTCTGTACTTGAGGGAGCAATGTTGGATTGTGTCCTATTTATAGTGTTCATTATGAATTAAGAAAACTTAGGCACCAAAGTTAACTTATGGATTCATGTGAACTTGATCATGTACGTATGAAATCGTGTGTTACTACTTTTCTTTTAGGTATATTTTTTTTTTTTCTTGAAAGACTTGACCTTATTTATAGAACTTTTCTCCAAATGTTGATCAAGATGCCACATCATTAGGCCAATTGCAAAAAATAAGAACATTTTATTCTTTTTCAAAACAAAACCTCAAAAAAAAAATTAGAAAAACCAACTTAGATGAAAGTAATTCGAATCCAAAAATATTTCCGAATGTAATTTTTTTTTTTTTTCCTTGCATTCTTTAAGAAATGAAATACCTTTAG